TTAAAGTCGTGACCGGTGTTCTTGACTATCAAGCGAAGGTTCTGGTTTCGGGCAAAGTTCACGGCCAACTGAATCTGAGCAACAGTGGATACGTTGACGACGTACGTAGGGTAAGCGCCTTGCGTACAGGTGCTGGTATAGTTGTACCCTATGGGCATGCACGAGCGACCCTCATCCAAGGGTGCCATGATGGAGCTAGGATCATCGTAGCTGAATACTTCTCAGCATGAAGTTACCTTGACGCGGAAGTATGGCACTGATATACTCACTGCAGAGAATTGTCGAGCCAGTTCGATGTTACCTCAGAACATTGCTCGGTGTTATATTCGGGCCAATTCGGGTAGCAGGACGCTGCCAAAGGTGCAGGCTTAAGCAAACTCCCACCAAGCAACTGGTCAAAAACACTCCAGGTCGATTCGGTTGGCCATGTCGCATCCCCTGGCATGACCTTGCAACGATGCTGGGGGGTTCCGCTGCTGTTAGTCGAGTTACTTGCCCCGAAAGCAAATATCCTCGATAGACTCGCATTATTAAGGGCGGTATCAGCTCTAGCCAATGCACTCTCAGTCAGCTGTACTGCTTCATAAGGAAACAAGGGCGGTGCAGCAGAAGGGCTCGTTGTCACAGTTGCCGCTGCTGCACTCAGCGAAGCTATAGCCCTTGTAGCCTGTGCATATGCTGCGGGAGCCACCATTGAGATGACCAATCCCCGCAAAAAATACCCCTTCATGGTTACTACCGACTCACTATGGGAAAAGAGAAGCCACAGGCCAGCTGCGAACGCAAAATTAAGGACGGGCAGTGGCTTCTCTAGTACTATAAGTATTCCGCGGCTAGCGGCTGAATGAGACGCTAATAGGTTCAGATCGTCGATCGCCACCCTCACGTTCTTTTACAATAAACATTATTGATCTTGGATCTGTCACAATGTGCTTAACAGTGTCTTTTCAGTGGCCTTATGACGTACGGGGCCCGCGGAGGTTGAAATTGAATACTCTGGAAGTCGTGAGGTCATCGACAGCTTCCTATGTCGTTCCCTACTCTATAACAGAGGGATCGTAATCACCAAGTATTATCTTATCTTGCGACAATAAGCTACCCTTGTTTGGGTTTCACGGACGATGATTCCCCAACTTGCAGGCTATCATACTCAGCTGAACATATCGGTGTACACCGCTTATTCCACCGAAACACTCATGGTCTGACTAACTGGTATTGAAATATCCGGTCACTTTTAAACTAGCTTACTCTCATGAAAACAAGAACACGCAATTCTACTATACAGGATGGGTGTCCGGCTCCAAGTATTGTGGTATTTAGCAGACGCGACAGATCGACAAAACATTGGCGATATGCAATCGCTAACTGCAAGCGACTCACCCAACCTCCAGGACACTCTGCAAGAAAAAGCAATATAGTCAAAGCCAGCTCCAAACTATTGTTCATAAATGTGGGGACGGCACCCGCGTCGCAAATCGCAATAATCTGTCGGCATGCAGCTATCGATTCCCATCGCCGCTAGTCAGCCGCGGCTGAATTAGCGCGACTGGTCACCACCGATTTTCATTTTCGACACAATTCTGGCCCCCGGGGTATAAACACTGATAGGTTAATGTGACTGAGTAGCAGTTTAGTGCAGACATTGATGCATATACTATTGGGACACTAAACGCCATACACGAGAACGGGCAGATGCAATTGGATAGGTTACTCTCATTGACTTTGCACGAAGCTGATCCTTGCAGAAATATGAAAAAGGCATCGACGATGTTCCTCTCTCTGAGTACATTACTCTGTTGCCTTTGTTTTCTGTTGTAAGTCTACGGATGGCATTATTTCAGGCATGTGTTAGTAACCAAGACCCTTGAGTGTGAGTGTAACAGACCAAATTATTCGCTACTTAGACTGTATAACTAACTATGATTCAGAAAATTAGAGCTCATAAGAAGACGATATGTCAGAGCACCATTTGCCACTTGACCCGAGTTTCCTTCACCATCCCCAGAACTCCAACGGGCAGGAACTTCTGATCCACAAGTCTGAGACCTCCCAGTTTCTCTAGCACCTCTCCGGCATATAATTGCAAGTGCCATAGCTCTTCACTGTCCAAGTTGCCAACTTGCCCTTGGGTTAGTGTCTTCCGTAAAGCTTTCTCAAGCTCCGGTGATTCATTAAGTGGTTGCATTGTCGGAACGCACATCAAATCGATATACATCCGTCTGAGATTGCCACTTGCAGTTTCGCGGAATCCAGAGAATTCCTCGAATGACATGAACGTATGGATCTCTCGCTCGGTCACCAAGTCGCCGTCAAGATCTGCATTGGAAACACATGTCTCTAGCATCTTTCGCCTTCGTTGATCGCTCAAGTCTTCGAACGTCTTTTTTCGTTGAGAATACAAGGTTTTCTCTTCCTCTAGATATTGCTTTATCCTCGCTAGCGGTGGCTCACCCATAATACCCTCAACCAGGAGCACGGAGGTGAAGGGATTGCGTAGGCCGAGTCCACCCAGTTCTTCGGGGAAGAAAAAGAAAGCATCCGGAATTTCAAATTCACCAAGCCGTCCTGTGATAATTGCCCGCAGATGTTCCGGAATACTTGTTGATGCCGAGTCATTCAAAATCCTATCTTGGATCTTCTTGTACGTGGTCAAAATGGCACGTACATGAGGCTCCCCAAAGCAGTAGGCAGGCTGACCGAAGGTATTCTTGAAGAACCTTCCGATGCAGCTGTTCCATGTGCGGACCCAGGATATTACACTATCGCAGCGATCTAGTTGCTGTTTGAGTTGCTGGACGTGCGCATCGACAAGGGTCTCGTCAATCACCCACGTCTCGGTGTCTGCATCCAGTTTCAGAAATCCAAATGTGACTGAACCTTTCGGGAGCTGGGCAGCGATTTTGGGATCTCTGTACTCAGCCAGATAAGCCGACCCAGTTTTGCTGTAATTAAACTCCAGCCCTGTGACCTTGGCGAAGTTACCCATCACTTCCCATGCTCGTACACACTTGGCTGGCTCGCCGCACAACCACAGGTCATCATGCAGGCGGTATAAGAGCAAGCCCGTTTCGCGATTTACTGCTAAATCCATGAAAAAGAGGATCATTTCTCCAAGCATTTTCTCAGCGGCATGTGAGAATGGAATTCCCCGCTTCCTGATGCGTGGTCCAACTGGCTCACGCCCCTCATAGGAGCTGTCCATGTTCAGGGGCGCTTCCAGATAACGGTGATAGAAGTCAATCCACCTCTTTGGGAACCCAACATACTTCATGATAATGACAATTGTACTGTGCGGCAGACAAGTGGCGTACCATTTCATGTCGGATTGGACCACCACTGCTGCACCGTGCAAGTGTCGACGGACAAGCGCCTCCGTGGCAATCTTTCGTAGCAGTTGCTGTCGGAAATTCTTTCCCTCGTGCCTTGTTGGGCTTTTCCCAGCATCTTCATTGTCATCATCATATGAATTGCCCTTCTCACTCAATGTTCTCTCTGATTTTGGCAGCTGCGACAAGAAGTAAGTTTCCAGGTACTCTGTGAACCGCAACTCCTCAGCAGTTGAATATACTTCGTCATTACCCATGTAGTATTTCCGTCGAAGGCGATCGCGTGTCGTTATCTGTCGCTCGGGTTTCCAGTTCCACACCGAGTCCTTTTGGACAAACCTTGACAATAGACGCTTTAGAATGTTACAATGTCGCGTGCCGATATACTGCAGGAAAATCAACTGCAGGAGATCCTCGTCCATCCAAATGCGATACTTCCCATTTGCCTGCTGCCGGGGGACAACAGGAATACCGTTTTTCCCAGCATGCCAGGCCCAGTTTTCGATATCACTGTATCGCATATTCAAGACATCGGCGATCTCAGTCAGAGCGACCGGTGTCTTCAGAAACGAATTCATAATCTCCCTCTTCTCCTCACTGAGAAGTTCTTCATTCAAGAGTCCACGCACACAATATTCTACAGATTGCGCGGTAAAAGGCTCTTGTTCTTCCCAAAATGATGTGGTATCGTTCCTGACCTGTTTGCGAAGATAGACCAAGGCATTCACACTCTCCTCATCCGGAAAAAGATCATCAAGGAAGGCCCGTATCTGCCATTCGTTTGTCTCCAACGGCTCGAAAACGGACGCATCAAATTGATCACACAGTTGCTGCAGACGCTGCTTCTGTCGCTCATCCACAACCATGTAGTCGTCGTCGACCGCCATCTCGCTCTCATCCTGGGGCGCCGCAACAGGCGGGTCCACCCATTCCGTCAGCAGCCGCGAGTACAGGTCAGCCAGGCCTAGCTTTCGACTTTGGATGTTGAGTTTCCTGAGAAGCTGAGCCTCAAATTCCTGCAATTTTCCTGGCGGGATTGACGAGTCGTAGATTGATTGATGTAGCCACCGCTCAATGTTAACCATAGTGGGATCGCTAGACGCCGACGGGCAGAGCTCTCTTACTCCCTCGAGCAGGTGCTCGAGTCGCTGACGAGGGTCCTGAGTGGCATGGGTCGCCTCTAGAATAGCAGCCTTATCAGCCTCATAGATTTTGCGTCGCTTCTCGAGCTCACGAATTTTGCTCTGAGTCAGGGACCGCAGGGTTTGCGAGAGGGCGGATACTGCAGGGGCCATTATAGAGCTGCACGATTCTCGACTAAAATTTCATCGATTAACGAGAGACTGGTGTGTGTTGTCTCAAGCCCAGACCATATAGTCAATGGTTTTATACTTCCCCGGCTGGCAGCTTGGCAGCACTTCTGCCTGCGCAGCTGCCTGGCGATCGGCATGCAACCACATTCCACCAATGAGGCTCTACACCCATATACAAACCATCTGCAACGGATAGATATGGACATGCCAGGGTCTCTTTGAACCCTCCCTCGACCCTTCATTCATGATCCAACCATGGCTGCGACAACAACCAAAGAATGCAAAAGAACCACGAAGCCATCCCCATTGAACCTCTACACTATGTACAGGGATAACAACACCCGAAACCCCTTTCCTTGAATTAATTCTCCAAACTAAACCTCCCCAGCCCATCCACCCACTCCTGATGTCCCAAAAGCATCGGATTCGGCTTCTTCTCCGCCAACCCAGCAGCCGGCTTTCCCGCCTGCACCTCCTGCGTTAGGATCCTCACCACTCCCCACTCCATATCCTCCACAATCCACGCATGATACACCTCCAGCGCCGTCTCCTCGTCTCCTTCCTGCCATGCCCGCCAGGCTAACCGACCCGGCGAGGTTGCCGTGGGCGCCACGCATTCGCAGATCTCTGCTTGGAGCGGCGGGAATCCGAACGTCGCGAAACTGAACTTGTCGCCGGGGTTTTGGAACGTTCCGTCGCTGGTCGGGGGCGGTGTTACTTGGTCCACGTTGCTGTAGTAGGATGTCCAACGAGAGGGAGTAATCAGGTTCGGCCATACCCGGGAGGCGGTTAACTTGGGGACGTAGATCTCGTTGGATACGAAGTTTTCGGTCGTGCCGGGAAGGAAGCGGTGGGGGAAGTGGATTGTGGACATTTTAGTTGATTGAGGTGGTGGTTGGGTGAGTGTTTGTGGTGGAGGTAGGAAGATGAGGTTGTTGACGGTAGGGTGAAGATGAGTGTTCACGATGTGCGATGTGATTTCAGTGGGGATGTCTTGATTATATAGATTGAAAGAAGAAAATAATGGGAGGAATGGAATCATGAAATGGATGACGGTTCTTATATCATGTTTGAGAGGGGATATTACATCATATGCCCCACGGTGCTGATGGGTGGATCCGGAAAGCTATCCGAGCTTGACACAACAACCTTATAGATCCATAACATTTCGTGATTCTAGATCTCAACGACCTATTGGCCTCTGCTCGCGACTGAAATCACTCAAGCTGCAAATCAAAGTGATGAACACTACCTCCGGCTTACTCTCTGTGTCGGCATCTTCCTCGACCAGGTGACAATTACTAGCGATGGGTCTTTCACATTTGTTTCCTCGCCAAAGGTCATCGGAGCTGGTCATTCATTCCAAGAACCTAAAATAGAAGGCACCATGCTAAACATCAGAAACGGACGAAGAAGTGGAGGCAACATCGTTGCCATCACGACAGTCGACATGTGCGTGCTTCTCGTTGTGTCCAGAGTATGGGGTGCCACACTCAGTGCACACATTCATAGGTGTTCTCGGTGAATCAGATGGTGATAGTGATATTCTCGCATATTATCGGTGCCGGTGAGTTTAATCGGAGGCCATGTCTCAGGGAATAAGAGAAAGAAATGCTTGGGAGCATGCTTAGAGCCTGTAAGGCTGGAGACAAGCGGAGTGAGATTTTAGTGCGGATGTTGAGTTCGCTAGGATTCTGTACCCCGACCAGTTATGCGTAGACCGTCGAATTGCTCTTTTTCTACAAGGGGTTAAGTTTTATATCCAGTGGCTGTTGGATGAAGCTTAATGGTAAATCGCTGCTATTGTAGTGTCTTTCAACCGGTTATGTTTAACGTCAGCTGTCAACCCATGTCCCAAAAGGACCATCTCATAGGCCAAGTCAAGCATAGTGGAACGAGCTACTGCACAACCTACTGCTACTAGCTTGAGTCTTGTCTCACCAGACAATGAATCAGAACCGAGGATTCTCCTTCTTTCGCTCCTCCTCCACAAATGCCTCGAAAGCCGCAATGTCCTCCGGCGGAACGTACACATCCTTCCACAATTCCCCTTTCATCCGCATCACCACCTCGTGCATCATCTCCTGAGTCAGATCGCTTGAACAGACCACCGTCATTTCATACTTGGTCGCGCTGATATTTTCGATTTCGTACGCCTTGTCTTTCACATGGCCCGCAATAGCAACGAAAACATCTTCGATCGGGTGTGGAAAGTCGGTGCATATAATGCGAAATCCGTTGCCAGGTTTAAGATTTATCCACGTAGTTTTGATGAATGGAGGCCCGCAAATCACAAAGTTCTTGTCGGTTGTCTCTTCAATGACACCAGTAGTGGGATTTTGGAACTTTCCATCCACGATGGGGACCCCGTGGATAGGATGCCAGTTTGAGATGTATTTCATGTTTCTGCTCTGGGAAGATTGAACTGGGGTTGAGCTTTGTTTGGGTTACAGTGAAAGACAAAAAAGGAGAATGGTTTCTGAGATATGTTCTTCAGAAGGGAGAAAGAAGGATGGCCTTCTCTAAGACTTTTCGATACTATTGATGACTGGCAGGTATCCAGCATGACATAGACTTAAGTCTAATATAAAACCCCTGTCAAACTAGGAGGAAGCGGGGATCACATGTCCATAACCAAGCGCTCATTCAGAGGCAGCCATTTTAGTCAAGCTCCAACCCCTGCTAAATGTCTCATTTCCCCTCTTTTGTTCTTCCAACTTGACCAAAAATGCCGCAAGTCCCTGCCTAGAAGACAGAGATGTAACTTTGGATTCTCAGATCAGGTCAGAATTGCATTAGCGCGGAGGATAAGCTTTCGAGTCAAGGCTCATTGCTGTCCGAACATGGGGGACTACGTCCCCTACTGTTTTAGTCTCTGAGATCTCTGATCCATAAGCCTACAGACTGAAGCCAATCTGGCACCAAACACACTGCCTAGAGATACCGACAAAGCCCTACCAAAGCCAAGGCTACACCCCATGTAATCCTCGAGCGATAAGATCTAACAAGTGGTTGTAAACCGGAGCTGATACTAGAGTAGCCACACAGTTGATGCCACTCTTTTCTCCAACTGAAGTTAAGTACCGGATCCACCGCTTAGCAATGTCCCTTGTTTATAACTGGACCACCCAGTACAAGTGGCAGTAATTCTAGGCAGTCGATCAAAATGCTCCAAGCTTCCCCATATGCACTTCGCCCGGTAGCTATCCTGGTCGGTACGTGCTAATTCTCAGAGCAGGCGATGGGGCAAGACGGGGTGCGGACCATCCTTCCGCTTATGGCTTAGTCTCCATCCGTCGCACTAACCTTAAATTTCTCTTAGCGGACACTAAGCCCTGTTCGATCAGACTAGTCCAATCAAAGTTAGCCGGCAGATCAGGGTCTGCTGTACGTAGCACGGTTGTCCCTGCGTCGGTGGCATCCATCACACATACTTCATGCCGTCAGACAATGAGTATCAACTGTAGTGGGATAATACCAATGTACAGCCTGAGTATAACACAACAATATGGAAATAATACATTTGACAACGAACAATGACCGACAGACCCAAACACCAACTGCGCATTACGGTAGTAGATCACATATACCCCACATCATCTGCGAATTCATTCAACACAACACAAATAAACATCCAAAGACAATCATCAAGGACGACAGCTACATTATTAAGCTGAATTAATCATCAAGGCCACCTTCTGGAAGATGCTGCGTGCAAAAAACACCGTCCAAATCCAGCTTAGCCTCCGCTCGGAACAAGCGTGGGCGGAATCTAAACCCGTTTAGGATGATTTTGTAGAACTGCCCCGTTTGTTCATCAGCTTGGCTCTGCTCAATTCCATGACCAGAACACCCAGGACAAAAGGTATATAAACACAGGCAGACATGACATTCTCGCATCCATCTTTCAAGCCAACACTTCTTCCATCCTCCACTTGAGACCACCAACATCAACGTCTCTACCTTGACCACTTCCCTTCTATTCCCATTACCTTCTCACATCACACACAATGGCACCTCAACTCGCCTGGCTGGGCCTCGGTAACATGGGCCGCGTACGCATCCCCCATCCCCAATAACTCACCAACACTCACAGCTTCTAACTTTCATAATAGGGCATGGCCAAAAACCTCGCCGCCAAAGGCTCCCTCACCACCCCTCTAATCATCTACAACCGCAACATCACCCGCGCCCAAGAATTCCAAGCCGCAACCCCCAACACCACCATCGCCAACACTATCTCCGAAGCCGTCACCAAGTCCGACATCATCTTCACCTGTGTCGGTGACGACGCCGCCATCCAATCCATCATCGATGCCAGCATCGCCAGCGGCTCCCCCCTCACCGACAAGCTCTTCGTCGACTGCTCCACCGTCCACCCTGACACCACCACCTCCATCTCCGAAAAGCTCCAAGCGAAGGGTGCCCACTTCGTCGCCAGTCCCGTCTTCGGTGCCCCGCCCATGGCAGCCGCCGGCCAGGTCATCCCCGTGCTGGCGGGTCCCCGCGCCGCCGTCGAGAAGGTCAAGCCCTACACGACGGGGGTTATTGCCAAGGCGGTTGTGGACTTCAGTGATCAGCCTCCTGCTAAGGCGTCGCAGTTGAAGATTCTTGGTAACACGTTTGTGTTGGGTATGGTTGAGAGTATTGCGGAGGGATTGGTGGTTGCGGATAAGTGTGGTCTCGGCACGGATGCCTTGCATCAGTTCTTTGAGGCCGTGTTCCCCGGTCCCTACGTTGCTTACTCTGCTAGAATGAGGTCGGGTGATTACCATGAGCGCAAGGAGCCGTTGTTTGCCGTTGATTTGGCTAGGAAGGATGCTCGTCATGCGATGGATTTGGCGGGTAAGGTGGGAGCCAGGATGAAGGGGGTGGAGTTGGCGGATGACTACATGGCGAAGGTGAAGGAGCATATGGGTGAGAGGGGTGATGTGGCGGGTATGTATGGCGCTGTGCGCCAGGAGGCGGGGATGAAGTTTGAAAATGAGCAGTAGGTTGATGCTGAGACACGCTGTAGTCAGGCACACTTCCTATCTACCTATCAGCCATCATCTTGAGATATAGATAAATAATATATATACGTTTGATCCTTCCTGTCCTCTAATTTAAGGATCAATGTGGTCCGACAAGCTAGTTGAGATGAGCAAGTCACGATTTCAATCTAGAAGTAGCGGAAGTTTTTGTAGAGATAGGGAGAATGACCTTTTCCATGGCGATAGAGGGAAGTGACACAAGAGCGAATTTGCAAATTTGTTGATGTTTTCTTGAGGACTTATGGGTTGGTTGCTTCTTAACACTTACTTAGTTAGCCCAATTTCGTTTACCTATTTAAGTAATCTGAATATAGAATTGAACAGAAAAAAAAAAAAAAAAAGAAAAACATACAACAGAAGGGATTCGCTGGTGGTCACCCACCCAACTACTAACCTCCCGGCGTGTGGCTTAAGTACGGCTGAGCGGACGGGAAGCCCTGTTTTCCACACCCTGTGGTCGTATGTACTTATTCTCTCTGTGCGACAATTCATATAGAAAAGATTTACTTGATCAAGCTGTAGAATAGCAACGGGAGTTGTCCATGGAAGAATCCCTGCAAGAAAATTCACAAGTATCTGCATAACGACTCTCTATGACATAGTATGGACGGGGACCCTATTGTACACTACGTAAAATGAAAATAAAATCAGACAAAGTAGTAACCGGTGTGGGTTTAACTAAGAAAGATCAACATAATTGGTGCTATCACACGGGTTCTCTGCGTTATATAATAACACCCTCGGTCTGTAGTATACGGACGGAGTACTTCCCACACACTTCATCCACGTTATCTACTAGTAGTACCCGCATTTGCCCAACTTCCAGTGGGGCAGCCGCCTACCACACAGTAATGGGGAATGCATCAAAAGTCCACTTCCACGCATCGATCGAAGCCTGATCATAGACACACTCCATCTCTGTGGCGCTGTTCACCCAGAGGGGTCGCAGAGGCCAACTGCAGAGTTCTTGCTCCTCACCCTCGTAATCCCCAGAAAGAACAGTAGCATTTAGAGTCACTGGCTCCACCCCGTTTTCCACCCAGTCAATCAATGTCGCGAGATTAGTAGTTGGGAAGGGACCATTAGGTTGCAAGTCATTGGGAGAACAGTGTGCCGCACCAGGAACGAGATACAAGCGATACCAGTCATGCATGCTGTCGATGCTCTCATTGTATGACAGATATGGATACATCACACTACGAACCGACTCGTAGTAGTGAACGGATGATGCTGGAGGAACGCTGTTATCAGCCTCACCGTGGTAGTGGATGATCTTGCCCCCATTCTCGCGGAATAAGGTCAGGTCAGGCCAGGTCGTGTGCAAGGAGTCCTTGTAGCGTTGCCAACCTTCGTACATCCACCCCTTCAAAGTATCATAGGTAACGTTGTCCAAGCTGGCTAGATCGGATGTATCCTGCAACCACAGGAAGCGTGTGACGAACTCGGCGCCGATCTGGCTGATACTCAAATCCCACGAGGCAGTTTCTGAGTCATAGACAGTAGTGGCATCTTCGACTGAGGCTCCCATTTGATAAGACAGGTAGACTTGCCGACCCTGGGAATCCTTCAGCCCGTCAATGATTGCCTGGGCTACCTCCACCCCAGCTTTCGTGATGGTTCCATTCTGCGCAGGAGTTGTGGACATTCCACGCTTAGCAGGGCCAGAGCCGCCCCCGGAGCTTGCGGCGCAGTAGTATGGCTTGCCCACGATGGAGGACATGTTGAAGTTCAGACGACAAAGGTCCGATCGGGCGACGACTCCGTCAGTCCGGCCATCGAGAGGGTCGCAGTAGGATATAGTTTCATTCACAATCACTTCGAGCTCACATGGAGGGGGGTAGTAATCAAGGGTCTTCTCGACCAAGGCGGAGAACAGATGCACCAACTGCTGGAAGGCAAACCGGATGGCAGGGGCACCAGTAATCACTCCATCAAACTGGTCACCAAATCGTTGGACCTGACTCCATCCGTCGCGACCACCCTCAGAGCAAGACTGATAGTAGCTGTAAATTTTGGTATTGCTCGCATTGAAGAAAAGGCCAGCAAAATCCTTGCCCAGGATACTCAATTCGTGAATCGCTTCGTAACCGAACATGTACAATGCCTCATAGTTACTTGTTCCATTCTCCAAAGGGAAGATATCATCTAGCGCACTGGTGAATCCTCCAAAACCACCGTCCGTTGCTCCCGAGACTGCACCATAGATGATGCCTGAGGGGAGTTCCGTGCTCAATGTATTAATCGCATAACCGCTTCCGCCCGTCGATAGGTAGCGATACTGGAAGCTGTCCGGAGCGGGTAGCCAGTACCAGACATTGACAGTGTCATTGAGCCCGGCATGGGTGTAGGAGAAAGTGACATTGCAATAGTCAAAAGAGGCATCCGGGTAGTCGTAGGATCCGCTGACGGAAGCGTTGTAAACTGAGTTGACGACAACAGACTCAGGATTCATTGATACGCCCGGAATAAGATCATCTGCGGGCAAACGTGCCTGCACATAGTCCACGGTGCAGACGGAGTCTAAGCTAGTGGCCGCCACGAGGGCTGCCACAGAAGCTGCGGATAGGATGCCCAGGGGAGATCTCATTGAGAACAGACAAATCATATGAATAGAAAACGATGAGTGATGAAGGAGGTATTATCTCGAGGATCGAAGAGAACAGGATCCGCTTCTTATACATCACCCTGCTTCTCACTGAGCGCCACATTGAATCCCGTGTCTCTTGTACAGCGGGCTTCATTATTTGACAGAATACTTCTGAAAGGTAATTGCAGGACCATGGACATGTAATGCTCGCCTTACTATAGTGTGTCTTGGCTAGAGACTCTCGTCAGTCATGGAAGCCAATGATACATTGTTTGTATGGCCAACGAATACATGACATAGCCTAAAATGTCTCGGCGGGAAGACTACATTGAACTGGTGCAAGAGCCAGGAGACGCGTCCCTCCCTCTCAGAAGGTGTCTCAAACGGGCAAGGATTCTCGCTGGTGACTGGCCGAATCATCCGAGGCAGCCTTGCTCTGTATCGATCGACAGGGTTGGAATCATGAAAAATTCCGCGTGCACGCGCAATCGGGGAAGATCTGGCCGGAGGTCGGTGATGATATCAACTTCCGATGTTGCGGGCTTGCTCCACTTTTGCCTCGGCTTTGGCCGACAATATCCCGAATCATCTAGCTGGACCCTGGGTTGATGTGAAGATTGACATCTGGCCACACGAATTAGAGGCCGCTTTCTCAGCTGGGAGATCAGGTATTTGATTATGACCACACACATAGGAAGAATTCTCATAATCCGATTATATCTTCAACACCCCCTCCCCGACGATTTGTTTCTGTTTCACCATACTCTGCTGAATACCTAGTCTTCAGTGTGGCACACTTCGAATCATGAATAACCTGGCAGAATTGTTTTGAAACAACTGAGGTACTCCTAGGTCGGAGAGAGGCATCCAACCCCGTGCCATGATATTTTCCCTCCGCCGATATATTAACGTATAGTGAATATAGATAGTCTCTGTCGGGCATCGGTGCTCAAAATCATGGAGGACATCCGTAATTACAGGCCCGCATTTCTCCGCTACGCACGTAAGCCCTGCTGATAGACAAATCCAAGCTTCATTTCCATTCAGACCCTGGCGCAGACTGATAGGTACCATTGATGAGGCACTACGCCCTTTCCCGTGATATAGAGTACGGTCCAGTGCCCTACTAGGCAACATGAGCTATTTGGTTTCGTATACTCCACCCCTCTGAGAATCTTTGAGTACCTTGTCATCTCTTGGCTAGCACATGGTGACGCGTTCATCGGTGTGATGCCGTATAATTGATTAGTAGCGCCTGGAGCACAAGGAGCGGTTATCTGTTTTCCATCCGACTGCCGATGAATATGTAACAGTTCCCAATGAGGCCTCCCGCGATGCAAGTATGATTGGACATAGCATCCTGCTTTCAGAGAGCTAATACCATATCACATTTACTTCCTACAGTTGGTTCTTCTAGTATATCTGAATACCGCCGTCGATCTGGTCACCAGAATGCGGAGAGTCGCTTTGCTTCTGGGTGCGGCTACAACAGCATTGGCCGCCACCTTGGATGATGTTTGCACTGCCGCCTACGCCAAAGCTGCCATTCCAAAGAATGGTATACTTTCAGGCGTCATTTTTAACACCTCCTCAATCTCTGTGTCAGTCACCAAGAACGCGTCTGTGGCCGGTACAGACTTCCCCTCCGGAGTCATTGATTATTGTTCCGTGGCCTTCAGCTACTCTCACCAAGGCGCGGGAGACACAGTACAGCTTGAATTTTGGCTTCCTGCGCCTGACAAGTTCGCCAACCGGTGGCTTTCTACAGGCGGTGGTGCCTTTGCAATCAATTCAGGCACTAATTCCCTTCCCGGGGGTATCATTTACAACGCCGCAGCCGGTATTACAGATGGTGGCTTTGGCGGTTTCGATAACGAGCTTGATGATGTGTTCCCCCTCGGCAACGGGACAGCCAATTGGCCTGCTGTCTACATGTTTGGCTATCAGGCGCATCATGAGATGTCTGTCATCGGCAAGGCCTTCACCCGGTCATTCTTCAACATGACTGCAGCGGAGAAGTTATACTCCTATTATCAAGGTTGCTCGGAAGGAGGCCGTGAGGGCTGGAGTCAGCTCCAGCGCTTTGCTGATGAATGGGATGGTGCTGTCACCGGAGCCCCTGCTATTCGCTTCTCGCAACAACAAATCAAACACATGTTTCCACCGGTTGTTGAAAAAACTATGGGGTATTATCCTCCTCCCTGCGAGCTGGAGCAGATTATGTATGATACCATTGATGCCTGTGACGCCCTCGACGGTCGGGCTGATGGCGTGGTATCTCGCACTGATCTGTGCAAGTTGAACTTCAACCTCTCAAGTTTGATCGGCATACCTTATTCTTGCAATGCTACTAGTGCCCTTACCGGGTATGAGCCGGCTCAAAATGGTACGATTACTGCAGAAGGAGTTTCTGCCGTAGAGGCCATCTTCAAAGGCCTTCATGATTCGAATGGTCTTCGTGCATATCTATCCTTCCAGTACGGAACATCTCTGGATGATGCTACTACCGTTTACGACGAAACGACCAACAGTTGGACTGCCTCAACCAGTGTCAACGGCGGCACCGAGTGGATTGCCCGCTTCATCGAACTCCAGGAAACATCCAACCTTGATTGGTCTAACTTCACCTATGACACACTGCGCGATTACATGTACGCCGGATGGCAAATGTATGAAGACACGCTGCAGACCACATGGCCAGACCTGACTGCTACCCGTGATGCCGGGGTCAAGATTATACATTACCACGGAGAATCGGACCCCAGTATTCCACCCGCTTCATCGGTTCATTACCATGAATCCGTCAGGTCAATTCTATACCCAGACCTTTCCTTCAACGAAAGCACAGCCAGATTAAATGAATGGTACCGGCTATTCTTGGTTCCCGGGGGTGCGCACTGTGCTGTTAATTTTTACCAGGATGGCCCTTGGCCGCAGACCACGCTTGGATCTCTAATTGAATGGGTGGAACAGGGAGTTGTACCTGAGCGGCTTAATGCGACGTACACCTCGGGTAGTGATGCTGGTAGTGGGGCACAGCTCTGCGCGTGGCCCTTGCGGCCGTTATGGTCTGATAACGCCACCAAGTTTGATTGTGTCTACGATCAGGCATCTATTGATACCTGGCACTACCGGTTTGACTCGTACAAGGAGCCTCTGTATTGAGTGATGTGATTGATGATGGAGATGGGAATTCTCTTTTGACTTTTGTTTTGGTGATTGTGATTATAGGAATTCTGGTGCTGTTGCACAACTCCTCAAATGTTATAGCTCTCTCCATTAAAGTTTGAAGAAAAAGCTCCCTTCCTAGGATTGAATAGACCTGCAGACTCTGTACCTAATTTTCATTAGCCAGCCAGCCATAATAGGGCTACTAATCACCCCCTGGGGCCGCTACTGATGAGCCGTGATTCTATGATCCTTTCTTGCCTGTTTGGGCTCTGGCCTTCTTTGCATCATCGACACCCATGCAAGCGTGGCTGGATGGTTTTGTCTGATGCTTGTTCCTAGCCTCGGACTAAGGTTCCTTTTTCCTACCCTGATATATGTGATCCAGGCATCTGCTGAGCCGCGCCATTTGGCCATGGTAGTGGCTATGTGCAGCTTTTTCCGAACTCTGGGGCAGGCCATCGGTATCGCAATCGGGGTGTCATCTTCCAGAACTGCATGTACTCTAATCTCATAAAGTATCCAACTCATGTGTCTCATGCAGATGAATACAGTAAGGGTGTTGCTTCTTTGGTCGAGACCCTGCGAAAGATGGCCGGAATCTGAGGCTAAAGAAGATTTGAAGATGGCGTATTCGGATAGTCTACGCATTGTGCGGGCCGTTTGTTGTGCTTTGGCAGGATGCAGTGCACTCTTGAGCTGGCTCATTAGAGACTATACTTTGATAGCAGATGGGCCTGTTCAGGAGGGGGTGAAAGAAGAAGCAGAATAGCTGGCGGGCGATGTGAACATTGACCATGTCTTTACTTATACTGTAGGAATATGATATGAGGGGATTCTATTTTCGGCTGACACGGCATAATATCTATACTATCCTACTAGTGTTGATTCCGAGGATTGTCCAAGCGAATGTATTCCGCTATAAGAACGATGGTTTAGAATCAGCCCATGCGGTTGTGGGTAGAAAATTTCCCCCATTGTATCTTGAGAGATGCTTCCCAGTCATCTCGCCCACGCAAGCTGTAGAGGTTATCCATACAAGTCAACGTGCCCACTGAAATCTCCCCTCTGGGGCCGGAGATGTAATTTTGCCGTTGGGAAGCTCTATCGTGTAAGTTGTGGAAGTTAGTGATGGACATGAGTCGCGAGGTTACACTTGTTATCAACTTACCGCGATGTTTTGGTAGAGGGCGGCGTAAGGGACGCCCGCACAGTTCCATACGATCGATCCACTCGACAAAGCTCATTTTCGTGTTGATCTCGTAGAAGTGGGTTTTGGAGTGCTGGCCTCTGAGACAGTGACCCATAGTCATGAGCTCCCTTTCTGATGGATCTATCATTTCAAACCTATTCTGGCGATATGCAAGTGCCCGCATCTTGAAGTAGCGGATAGATGGAATGGTGTCACGCAAGGTATTCATGAAGCGACGCCAAACAGTGGATATGGCCGCACGGAACCTTCGTGAAGGTCCCATAGCTACTGGAATGGGGTCATTCAAGCTGACTGCAACCAGGGTCAGGACCTGCAGGGTTGGAGCGGCTGTGCTTAGGAATAGCTGGAAGCTAGGCTGAGTGAGTTCGATCCAATGGAGATGAAGTTCTGTAAGGCGGGTGAAATTAACTTGTTGGGCCAAGTTGTCGAAATGATCCGGGCTTAAATCATGGAACTGATCCCATAAGGTGAGTCGGAGAACGTGGAGATTTGGAGCAGCCCGGATAACGAGAGAAGAAAGAAATTCAGTAGTATCATTCGGATTTGAGCGTCTGAGGCAAATATCCAGGTTCTGTAGCTTACGAAGAACACATCCAAGGCTTTGATAGAGAGGCTCAGATAGAGTGAAGCAGTCAGGGGGAACCGATAATTCATCTTCAACCAAGCAGGTATATAGCCTTTGGACTTCCAAAGGGGGAGAAGCGGCGCACATGGCTTTGAGGAGACTGGTGAGCCCCTTCGTCCAAACCGGATGCCTTATGTCGTTCCACATATTCCACACTAGACCCCACGTGCTCAAAGGCCGATCGGCAAAGCGGCACGCACTGGGCATCAGGAGCCGTGCACAAGGGTCAAAAGGCAGCCGTTTTCGCAAAGCGCGCATGCCCAGGCAGATAAATCGACTCTTCTCTTTGCCTGGCCATGAGGGAGGGTAGGGTCGCAACCCTATAGTAGAAACATTTCTCAATCGATTCAGGCATCGAGTAAGACTCTCTACTAAACACTCCGACTCTGCAAATGCTAGGTGATCAGTCTGAGCAGCCTGGTAAATCATATACTGCCTTTGAACTTCCTCGGTTGACCAGTTCTCACTCCCGGGCGCACAGAAGCGTAGGATTATTTCAAAAGCACTAAGGTCTACCTCGTAGTCCCCAAATACTTGAGGTATGAGACTCAGTTCTTCCACCACATTTCTAAATGGTTCTTGCAGGGTGAAGGCTTCAAGCGCCGTAAGAGCCTCCTGAGTTAAAATGACACTGACACGCCGGAAGTAACGACTCGCAAAGTGGGAAGAAGAGAGTTGATAGAAAATCTTGCATGTGAGTCGGAGGGCGCACCAGTCCGAGTAATCGAAATGACTTCCGATGGCATCAATAAGTTCCGGTGGAAGTTTGTTCATAGTGGCTTGTTGTTGATGGTGATGGGGGGGTTCCAAAGGGACTCAGAAGGTGAAATGAAACAAGATTGGTTGGACAATCTAGTGCGTAAATAAAAAATACTCCTAGTACTTCGTAGAGTGTTTTCGGGAAGTTGCGGCCGAAAGAAATTCCCGTGGGTCTGCCTGGAAAGCTTTATCTCCGAACGCTCTACGGGTACGGGCGGATGGACCCATCCACTATTGAGTCCTTGAGGCTTACTAGAACCCTTGGGGTATTGGTGAGTGGGGCGAGCCTGACTTTGGATACTGCATCCGTTCGTAGGTTCAAAAGCCCGGTTTTAGATTTATCCATGACAGCGATTCTTGGCCAAAAACTGATTTCTGAGTGTGACACCGCAGGAATCATCGACTATCTTGAAAATGACTCACTGTAGCGTGCATGCATCATGCCACACTACACGCAAGATACAGATCCTGCGCCAAGGTTACAGGGGTACTATGACCGGAACACGTGTAGGAGACGGTGAAAACCCCACTCCGTTGACCGCATAGACAAGGCACTATTACACAGGTTCCATCAAATATCGATGCGAACAGGTGATCCGGACCGGTTGCGGAGGTTTACAAGGTCGCAGAGAAGAAGTTATATCTGGCTACGAGAGGGCGAGATACATGCTTCGATCAAGCAAGTCGGGAATCGGAAGAATGTCTCTGATCACTATAGCTAAGAAGCCGCCATTTGTCCGTATGCACTCTCCGAAGCTGGCTACCGGGGCCCACCGGTCGCTGACGACGGCTATATAGCATCTATCAGTGGTCCCCTAATCTTCCTCATCATCATCATCACCATCATCGTCATCTTCCCCCTCTTCGGGCACCCAATCCCAGGCATGAGGTTCGCCGTCGTAAAATGCCACATTTTCTTCAACCCAGTACCACCAGCTCATTGCCAAAAAAACATAATTTTCGACGTTTTGGTCAGCATATATATTTGTGTACCAACCGGCCGCAAGTGCAAGACATTGTTCCGTATAATCTGGCAATTGAGAATTACAGTGTCGGGTCAGCGCAAGGACTTGGTCAATAAGCAGCCACTGGGAGGAGCTTACAAGAGTGATCGGTAAGCCGACCGGTTATTGGTTGATCGATCTTCTTGTCCAACCCCAGCCAGAAAGTCACCAGGTGCCAAAGTTCGTGGAATAAGGTGCTGCTCCGGGGCATCGCATCATACAGATACTCCCCTTCTTCTGCCTCGACTTCTGGCAGGCTGGCGAGAATGTCATACTCCCACGGGATTTGACTATCAAACGAGTCGGGACATAGCAGCACAATGTCCTCCATGGCTTTGTATTCGATGATTTCAGTCTCTCCGTTGACGGTAGCCTGGTAGTATCCCTCCGGGTAGCCAGGAATGCTCACCCCCTGAAGGGGGTTGCCGTTTGCACTCGCCCCGCACAAGTCGCCGTTCGATGTTGGCTTTGGGAAGACATAGACCCCCATGTCGGAAATCCAGTATGGGCGGTGAGAATCATATCCCGCCTGTTGCCTTACTTGCTCATACATCTCTTCGATAGTCAGAGCGACTCCGTTCAATTCCACGGGATTTCCTGAAGCGTCAAAGGCTTGATCTGTCCAGTCAAACCAGTCTCCAAAGTTGTCACAGAATAGCCTAGGCGGAGACTTGTACGACGAATACTCTCCACTGGCCACGAATTTGTTTAGCACATCGGAATTTTCTGTTTGATTTCGTACGTATTAAAGGTATATCTCTTGAAAGCGGCAAAGAGGCTACTTACGCTCAAAAGCCGACATGGAGGTTTGACTAGACTCATCTTTAATTGCTGGGGTGTCGCCGGAATTATCGAATTTGATTCCCAGCCATGCCGTGAAAAGCTTTTGGGCGACCACACGATCTATGGTCGCGTCCTTATCATCGGCGGTGTTGAACGCAGTTGCAAGGCCGGAAGCTAAGGTATTGGTATCCATCCAAAAGTCCTCGAGCTTTGACAATCGACTGGCGCAGCTACCAGTACCAGTACCAGTATAGATATTGAAGGCATTGTCTACCGTAACGGCAGCTCCTGGCATGGCCAGCAGGCCGATAGTGAACCCCAAGGCAACAAGAGATCGCAACATTGCGGTGCTCAAATCATTGAAAGTATAGTCACTCACAATGTTCTCTTTCTACAGGAAAATCAGAACTAGATTTATATTCCCGACGCCATTATAGTATGACGATTTCGGTGAAACGCTTCTCTCGTCCACAGCCCCTTTCTGAGCACACCGCGTAAATAATTAGCCCATCCACCAGAGTTAGCAATAACAACTTCACATCGGACTAGACAGTGGATTCAATAGCGATGCAAGTTGAGCTCCCCTCATGGTCTGAGTTGTTATTGGGAAATGACTCTCAGTGGGCGTGGTCAAACTAACAAAAACTAGCCAGTATCGCGTGCCAGAGACAAGTAAATCCCTCATACAACATTCTGCTTCGGTTAGGCCGCAGCTATCCGGTGGTTGGGGCTTGAGAAATAGCAATGGCAAGTCGGAAATTGCCCGGTCCCACCAAATCTTACTGGTAGGGGTAAATTGTGGTCTGGTTGTATCTGAGCTTCCCCAGATCTGTGTTAGGGTTGAGACGGATCTCACTAGTTTCGGGCCGGATCCTGTGGACGGTCACGACTGCCTGCATTGACCAGTGGGGTCCCGGCAATAATTTCATTTCGGGTGTAATTACATCCAAACGAAGGGGAGAGAATGATACTATACAAAATATTGCAGCCTATTATAAATCATTGTGTGACAGTGATGGCTGAGAATGAGTGGTATACCTCGAATGATTTAAGATGGCTATATTTCTCAACACTTGTGAAGCACCAAAGATCAGTTTCTCTGCCGGAGTCTCCTTAGCATCACCGTTCATTCCTTCTTTTACTCTGTGTCTCTCCTTAGATATCTTCTTTGCAGCCTCGCATTTTTAGTCATTCCTTATGTTTTTTTTGGATACTACTGGCATTCTTAACGACTGTTGAGTTATAAGCAGCGGCAATTCCTGATATGCGCCTGATTTCGCAGCTCGCGGGTGGACTGTTGGCGAGCAGCCTTCTGGTTCACCTAGCGCTGGCAAGCACGGAGCGTGAAATCCAGGCACGAGCTCGAGTGCAGAAGCCGAAGCCATGCCCTGCTCCATGCTCCAGCACAGACCCAGCCGATTGGTTCGTTTACCCTAATTTGGAAAGACTTGCGCAGTGCAATGAAAGCATGCTTCTCGATTTCAACATCTACAACACAGTGACTGATCCTCAACATCATTCAACCATCTACACTTGCACAACCCCCGGAGACCTTGCTTCCTGGGCCCCATCCAGCACCAATTTATCCGACAGCGGCTCCAGCTCTCCTGTTACGTATGAGGTTGGCATTTGGAAAGCCAGCTCCCCACCGGGAAGCTCGCAGCTTCTCGCTCTACTGCGAGATATGCACAGCTACCTGATTGCCAACCCTCACAAGGGAGAATTATTCGGCTACTCTAATCGAGTAAGCGTCGGGGTTTACCTCGGTGGTAGTTTGCAGCTGACTCCCAACGTTGATTACATACTCAATGAGATGATCTCTCTGTCACAAAATTTCACTTACGACCGGGCAATCTTGCAATACTGCGGTTCAAACGCCAATAATACTTTGGGTGTGGCAGTTTCAACGAACGGAGACATCACTACTGTACAACAATACATCCAATCCTGGAGCAAGGCCGACTGTATATCGGACTATGACAGCCACAGTTCTGGAACAACAACCCTGTGGACTAGCCAAACAGGGCTTCGCAACAGTACTGGTGCATTCACTACTATTACGTCAAATACAAGTACCTCATCCCACTCGTTGACTCGCCGTCGTTCTCAGCACGGCCACTTCCACGGCCACACTCATTCACACACCCACACTCATCTGGCTCACCGTGACAGCAGCTGTTCATATATCCAGGTGGTGTCAGGTGATTCATGTGCTACACTCGTCTCAGAATGTGGTATCACTGCTGCTGAGTTCTACCAATATAATACTGCCTCAGATCTGTGCTCGACACTAGAAGTTGGACAATATGTGTGCTGCTCCTCCGGGGGTTTGCCAGATTTCTCCCCATCCGCTTATAGCAACGGCACCTGTTATACCTACACAGTCCAGTCCGGTGACACTTGTTCGGCGCTGGCGCAAACTTACAGCCTCACGGTCGCGGAGATCGACTCCTACAATAACGATACATGGGGCTGGTACGGCTGTGATGACTTGCAGGCGGGGACCAACATTTGTCTTTCCACAGGCAATGCCCCCTACCCGGCAGCTATAACCAACGCTGTTTGTGGGCCCCAGGTGCCGGGAACCAACTTCACTGATGCACCCACTTCCTTTTACTGGGCTCAGTTAAACCCGTGTCCTCTAAATGCATGTTGTGATGTCTGGGGTCAGTGTGGTACTACCCCATTGTACTGCAATGACACGCGAGCTTCCACAGGGGCCCCAGGTACCGCAGCCGCTGGCTCAAATGGTTGCATCTACAACTGTGGAACGAACATTACCAACTACGCCGAGGAGCCGTCGGGGTATGATGTGATTGGTTATCTGGAAGCCAGCAGTGTCAACCGTACGTGTCTCAGATGGGAGGCCTCTGACGTGAATACTACAAAGTATACGCATGTCAATTTCGGCTTTGGAAACATTGCATCCGACTTCTCTATCAATGTAGATGGGATGGAATCCGATTTTAATCTTTTTCTGAAACTGGTTGGAACTAAGCGAATCTTGTCCTTTGGTGGATGGGACTTTTCGACGAGCAGCAGCACGTATATGATATTCCGTGAGGGAACCGCTGCGGCAAATCGTGAGACATTCGCGACGAATGTGGCCAATTTCATTACTGAGAAAGGACTTGATGGAGTCGACTTCGATTGGGAGTACCCTGGGGAGCCTGATATCTCCGGGATTCCGGCAGGTGGTTCAGATGAAGGCGAGAACTATCTGGAATTTCTGAAAGCCCTGCGTGCACTCGTGGCGAATGATACAATCATTTCGGTAACTGCTCCGTCATCGTACTGGTATCTGAAAGCCTTCCCAATCGCTGAGATGGCCGAAGTCGTTGACTATATCAATTACATGACTTACGATCTTCATGGTATCTGGGATCTGGGCAACGAGTATTCGCAATGGGGTTGCAGCGACGGAGACTGTTTGTTCTCGCATGTGAATATGACGGAAACAATGTGGGCATTGGCGATGATCACCAAAGCTGGGGTAGCGACGAAAGACATTCGCGTCGGTGTCTCCAGCTACGGCCGTTCCTTTCATATGACCACCGCGGGTTGCTATGAGTCGTGGTGTACATATGATACTGCGGGCGCCGCAGGACCCTGCACTGACACAGCCGGATACATCGCTGAGGCCGAGATGGAGGAGATTCTAGCCTCGGATACGACGACCCAGACTTACTCCACGTACGACACTGATATTCTGGTTTATAACGAGACCCAATGGGTAGGCTACATGAATTCCACTACGCGCGCGAGCCGGATGGCATACTACGAGCAGTTCAACTTCGGTGGCACGGCCGAGTGGGCCATTGACCTGGAGACCAATCCTCTAGAAGACTCAGACGATGATGATGATGGCACCAGTCCTTTAACCACCACCACGAGCACTACGACTGTCACCATCGACCCAACTGTCTGGATGGAGCCCTCTCCAGTCGTAACCTGCGTGCCGCCTTGCCTCATGATCATGCCGCCTAAGCCGCTGGAAACTACAACCACCATTACCTTCAGCGAGTGGGACACGCACATCACATGGGCCTCCACGGCCACCAAGACCACAACTCTGGCCAACGGAAATGTCGTGACCTACAAATCCATGCAGAATTCGGCCATTCCCACGCGACTTTCTATCGCTCCCGTTACCACCAATTATGTCAATGTCTGGAACCAGGCCATCACGCCAGGCCAAACCAGGGTCTATCAGACCAGCTCTATCCTTCCCACTCCTTTTCCTGTGGTGTATACCCCGTGAGTAGCCAACGTTCCATTCGGGAAAACATCTTTTCCCATTACACCATATATATAATGAAAGCTGACTTCGTACCTAATAGAACGGTGGGCGGCGTGACAAACGTCTATGGGGGTACGACAAGTACTATTGCAGGTGTCAGTTGGTCCTTTGGGAATGCCACCTACACCAGTCCCGCATGGACTGGAGTATTTGGGGGCACAACCAGCGTGACAGGGGGCACAACATTGTCTCCTTCAACGACTATTGTTACGCCACACCCTTACCCCACCGACACCAGCACTACTGATCCGGTCCTGAACACTCGTACTACTCGAATGAGCACAGGATCCCCTGCTGGACCGACCCCTACCTCTTCTGGAGAGCACACCGGTCATCACTGTAAGCATTCCCATCGATGTCCCGTACATTTTGAGCACCAACCCTAATCGGACGATTAAAGGTGTCATATTCTGCGCCTGTGCAGCTTGCCCTCCTGATCTCGATCTGGATGGGAGCTTTGGGGGAGAAGATGATAGCGGTGGTGGCGGGAGCAGTGGCAGCAGCGGGAGCAGCAATGACAGTGGAGACGACAGCGACGAGTCCAGCAGCACGAGCAGCACCAGCACTAGCACTGAAACGGCGGACGTAACCATGGGCGGAGCAGGCACTACCATCTACTACGAGTTCGTTCCCACCGCCGCGTCCACCAATTCTGCATTGCAGTCATCGATCGATCAATACCTGGGATCCGTCTTCCGATCCCTCTACGGTAGTGAGGTGGCGGCCATCACCGCCACGGAAACCGGCACCGCTGCCGAAGCAAGTATCACTTCCAGCAGCCCTCTTTGTGTAGAGGCCCAGGATCCTGACAGTGGATCGGATGACACCGTCTGCTCCTGCAGCGGAGGTAGCGGAAGTTACCCAACCCTCACTGTCGGGACCAACCCATGCGGATACACAGCGTTGCCGACCAAGACGACCACCGATGCATATCCTTACACCTTCACCCAGGCCGATGGCTGGATCGTCGGCTGCGCCTCCACGGGCATCATTGACGATGTGAGCTACTGCACTGGCTCTCGCACCACGGTGGGCGTCGATCGCACCATAGACCCATACCCTTACACCTTCACTCAAGCGGACGGCGATATCGTCGCTTGTGCTACCACGGGCATCATCGACCATGTGAGCTACTGTTCTGGCTCCCGCACAACCGTCTCTACAGCCTCGGCAACCGCCACGGAAACCTCTCAGGCCTTTGCCATCTGGCGCACCAAGACAGTGGAGAAGTCCTGTGTCAACTCCAATTGTATTACGGTCACCGACGGCAATAAAGTTATCGCTTCATCAGCAGATACCACCGACGGGGACTTCTGCGAGGACCTTGCGTATGAAGCGACCAATTCCAATACAGGGAAGGCCCTGACTACGAAGTTGGTCGCTGATTTCACCTTTTCGGACTGGTCCGTTTGTGGTGTCTCCGGAGGCTACTCCTGCACTGAGACATCGAGCACCTCGGGGGTGTGGGAGTGTGCTGATGCCGATGGAGGAAATACTGCCCGTTGTGTCAAGTCCACGGATAGTTCATCGCCGTTGGTTACGTGCGAGGAGACTAGGACGGGTAATGGTGAGGATGTGTATTCGTACTTGTTGGCTAATTGTACTGCGGAGTGGAGTTGTGCGGTGGATTTTTAGGGTGATGAGTGATGATAATGTAACATTATACTCTCTAATCAAAAGAGGTGGGCTGAAATTACTCCATTCCAAGAATTACGTAGTTTATTGCCCTTCTGGTGATAAGTAGAGATTTTCACGTCCTCATGGTATAAAAGACACTTTTGCAAGGAAGTTTGAGCCTCCTAGAAGCAGCCATAGAAGATCACCTCTTCAAGTAGTGATAGAATATTGCTAGCATACTAACAAAATGCATCAATCTGGTCTTTGAGCGATATGGGCGGGCTGGATGTGCAGTCCAGCGAGTTGTTCAACTTTCCATAAGTCCTTATGAACGTCGACTGCTTTAAATGTTAAGAGCTGTTCAATATCTCGAACAAATATAGAATCAGAAAGTTTCCACAGCATTGCAGACCGGATGGCATATCATATAAAGCTATATTGTCTCTATGGTTAATCAGTAGATTCTCACTTTTGGTGCTGAGCACATGAATGTGTTGTGAGGCCCTCACGCCAGCGGGGATATAATATTTGTATGTTGCATGAATCGTTATGATCTCTGTTTATCTCTCTCCAAATGTTGCTTGGAAGTAGACTACCTAAAAAATGTTTATAACTCTAATGACTTAGTGGGGACAAGGTTCCTTGATTAGTTTTGAGGTTGTGTGAGATAGTTTGACGTATTTGAATCGATGTTTTTCACCTAACATCAGGGGACGGCAAGTAATAGTGTGGGACTCCCTGAATGAATAATTCCGCGAGTATTATATGAGATAAATGCCTGGAATATGGTGATAATCCGGGTCTTACCTTCGAGAGATCGGCGAAATCCCTTGAATGCCAGGTGAAGTAGCACGCGCCTTCACCTATAAATGAGGCCCAAAGTTTTCGACTGGATCAGATAACTATCGTCTTCAGCTTCAAGCATCAAGCTTGGTCTTATTGCTTTTCAGTCCGACCCAGGTACCTAGAATCCCAAGTTTCCGTGATTCACGGTCACCAAATATAGAAAGCAGCGATTCACCCATATTTTCTAAGTCGCCCATTTGTCATTTGTCCTTTCTCCTCCCGACCAAAACGTTCTTCTTCCAGACCATCACCCTCAGTCTTTCACTTTGCCAGTCTCCTCCATCAAATCAACACACAATGAGCCGCTGGCACAGTTCAAGCTGCAAACGGCCAGATGTCAGTGTGGCAAGTGGTATTCCGTGTTGCAATCAGTGCTTCGCCATTGCTATCATCGAGCAGGAAACAAGACTCACAGATTCACCACTGCCACTGAACGACCTATCTCATATTTCTCTGTGGCCATCATGTCCCGATTCAAATAGCCTAAATATATCAGAGGAAAGCACAGAACATGGCGACAGCGAACCTCGGACAGACTATCAAGAGATTGCATTCCCGACACTGCCCTCCAAAGATCACATACGACTTGTAAGGTTGAATGCTGGCCCTTTCGATAGTATGCTTCATGTTGACCTGGAAGTGGTAAACATCCACAATTGTCCAGCTGAATCATTTGAAGTCTTATCATATGCCCCAGCCAACGAAAACGAAGACTCCGACAATCCCCACGTTGTCTTCGTAGGCAAGTACTGGGACATTGTTCATGTATCATACAATTGCCAACAGGCGCTTCGCTTTATTCAAAACCAGGAATTTGATCGACTCTTATGGGTGGACTCATTATGCATCGATCATGCTAACCTCAAAGAAAAAAGTCAACAAACCTCCTTGAAACGAAAGATCTGCCAAAAGGCGTCTAAAGTCCTTGCCTACTTGGGTGAAGAAACATCCGACAGTCGAGAAGCTTTGGAATTTCTCAACAACATCGCTATAACAGGCTCCGAAGTGAGCACTGGCCATGAGCATATAAACAAAGATACTCGGAGAGCTTTGAAAATTCTTCTAGAAAGACCATTGTTCACCAGATTATGGTTCCTTGTCGAAGCGTTACTAGCTCGGAATCTTGATTTACTGTGCGGTGCACATTCAGCTCCATGGCCTAGAGCGCCTTTTGCGTTGGCTCATGAAGACGTTCCTATACCCGACTGGCTTTTCCGGAAGGAACACTGGTACGGGCTTAGTGATCGTGATCTTTTACCCATATTAGCCCGAGCATCCTCTTACGAATATTCCGATCCGCGGGACAAGGTATTTGCCGTGCTTAGCTTGATATCCCAGAGTGAACTTAGACCCGACTACACCGTTTCCGTTGAAAGTGTATACACTGGTCTATCTGCATACCTTATCAAGATTTGCAACACCATGGATGTTCTCGAATTAGCTGGCCTAACAGTAAAGACATTCGACGTCCCCTCCTGGGTCCCAGACTGGTCGCAAGCATTATCCACGACCGCTACATCCATTCCAACAAACAACCAAAGACTCAACCGAAAGCACAATAAAGTCTCGGGCTCAGGTCGCGTAATTTTCCGATCCTACCTTGCCTTCGACTGTGAGAGCCACCTGAGCGCAGCTACGCCTATCCTGCGCACTTCTGCTATCAAAATATGCGAGTTAAGGGGCAGTATCAAGCGTGGTCCAACTCGTGTAAAGATCAGAATGGCGCTTGATGAAAGAGCAACTCTATCGGTTTCCTTCCCCGATCGAGGATATAAGCAAGGGCAAGATAGCTTGTTCCTTCTCGGTGGATACAACAACCCTGTCATTCTCAGAGAAGATTCTGTCACAGGCTCCTATCATTTCGTATCGACCTGCGCCCTTTCGCTCAGACAACCTCCTACCAATAGATGGCTGCTGCCTTGGGCCAGTGAAAGGCCGAATGAGCGGTATATCGTCTCAGAACTGTCTCCAGAAGAGAATAGTTTGATTCGAGAATTCCATCTGCTCATGGAACAAACTACCCAACAATCTGTTCCCTTAGGCGGCGATGACGAAATTCCCATTCCCTTCGCCAGCATCAGAGACAGAGTCTTTAACTTTTCTCTACGGCTGCAAAGCCCGTTGCCGAAGCTTGAGAAACGATTGTGGGATAAATGGGAAGATTCAAACAGAGAGTTTGGCTGGATGTTCCGTGATCAACATGCAACATGGCAGTTTCTTCGACAAGTCAATTTCTTGGAAATTCCCGGGAGACAGGGAGAATTTGAGATACTAGTGGACAAGTTCGATGACATCCAGACTACATTGTATTGCGGTGTGAAGTTGCCTTGGACATATTCATGGGATCTCAGTCGATTCATCTGGTCGTTTTTACGACCTTTGAGTCCAGAACAAGCGGCTCAAGGACCACAATGGACTCCAATGCTGGGAAGGATGATGACGGCTCTTCCTAAGATTATAGGATGGGCAGAAACGACGGAACAGCTATTGACTTTGTTTGAATATAGTCAAACTATAATTGGCGCCAGCTGGGAATCATTTCCTGGTAATGGACTACCTCAGAAGTGGATTGATCTGTACGAAAATTTCTACAAGATTCTGGATATGGATATAAATAACTTCAAAGCAGACCTGAGGACATCACTGGATTCATCCTGTCACTGGGACATACGAGATTTCGAATATAATGCCCGAGCTAGATGTCGTCTATGGAATCTCAACCTACCTCCCGAACTAGAATCGAGAAGTGCTAGTAATATAGCAGTGCATGCGGGCTTCAGATCTTTAAGACTGGAGTTATATGACGAGCAGATAGTTGACATCATGTGACAAATCCGTTGGCCCTTGTTCTGACATGTCTCTTCGGTGTGATATCCTGCGTCCTCGTCGGCTCCACCCTAATTTCGACGAATGTATACTGCAAGGTCCCAAAAATATGAATTATAATCAGGGAAATCAAATTCGTCATAGTATTTCCGTATGCAAGTTAACACGCGTGGAGAGACAGGGTCGGTCCTAGACAAGATAAGTTTGCAAATTCCGTAAATTAGAAGAAGAAGAATCATAATAATAATGAGAAAATGAGCAACTCACATGTGATCTTCATTCTGATCCCTCACTTTGTTCCATATCAAAACAGCCGGCCGAGCTATATCAAAGACAATTTGCCGCACAGCAATATCCGGAGCAACCGTAACCACAACTGTGGACTCATCAACTTCGAGGAAGGCGTCGGGATCTTCTACAATCTTAATTCCATGCTCCCCTGCAGCAACTAAATCATTCTTCATGCACACTGGGTCCTGTGCAAAACATGGAATAGCATCCTGTGACACCTTGTGCATTTTGCAGAATATGTCACGGAGAGTCAAAAGTAGAGCGTGCTGAAAAGCCGATCGATCTTGGAAATCAGGGTAGACTGTTGCGAAAGACCCGAGCGCAATCCCAACTATTTTGGATATAGGGACAGTCTTTCGTGACATGAGCTTTACCTGAAGCTCTTGGCACTCTTTGGTATTCTCCCAGATCTGGCGACTTTCTTGTAAAAGCTTGCTTGCGTCAGGTACTGATTCAACTGAACTGTTCAGGTACAGCTCCTTGGTGCGCATATCCCGTAGATACTTGTAATGACCAATCTCGATATGGTTGTAGGGCAGATAATCCCCTAGGTTATCATCATCGAGTACTTCTTGCAGAGATAAATATGATATACAGGGGTTTTGGCTTTGCAAATTAAAGTCAGTGAGTTACTGCACCACCTTAGCACGAGAAACGTATCAATAAACACACATACATAATGTACTCCATACCAGGCTCATCATGTGCTGGATAAACCTGCCCTGTAAGTACTGGAAACTCAACCAATACTCCATCCAACCCCGGCACACGTATAGTCTGGATAACTCCATTGCAAGCATCCTGTATCTGCTCTTTGAGATCCTGAAGTAGCTCCTTGGTGTAGAATGGCTTCCCAGAGTCATACATCTCCTGGATATGGACGAATATTTCCTGAGGGGGCGGTAGAGGTGAAGGATCGGCTCGGGTTGCTAGCCCGATGAAAGTGGAAACTGGGCTTGCTGCTCTTTCCATTGCGTATCTTCAAGTAAAATTGATTACTATGTGGTAAGCTGAATAAAGTGGAAGATGCAGGCGCGTAAACAGGCACAAGATGGGCTAAGCTGCAAATTGTGGGGGTCAATGCACCAGTCAGCTGAGGGAAAAGATAGTAGTTGTTGTACTGTGGAAAGAAGTGCCACCTGCCACTAGTGACGATTTTTATATTTTCAGCCTTCAAGCAAGCCTCTCAAAAGATAGGTGGATTATGTATAGTACACAGTAGAGAAAACTTAGGTACTTCCACTTCTGTCCTTGTGGATGGCACGGGAACGTCCCGTTCGGAACAAGCTTGGCGGAAATCGCCGTGTCGTCGGTGCAGACTTACGAACCATGGTTTGATATATAGATCTGTATGAATGTTACAGCCAGATAAAACGGGAAGTTGAGCAATATCATACAAGGTAATCAGGAACTGGGATATGCTGAACAACATTGGGAGCAGGTCAGAAAGCCTTGCATGTTATGTGGTGAGCTCGTCTCAGGCCACTTGTGAGTCTACTAGACTTTCCCTGTTTACATACTAGTATATAATGTATGGGATCATTTGGTATCATTTGGTGTTTAGCTATTTTCGCTAAGTAAACCGTAATATATTGACTACTTTTACCGTCCATACCCGCTATGATAGGGCTACAGTCATCTTTTCTTTATTTCATATAGCAAATATGTGCAGCACATTAATAAGAAGTCCTCGATGGTCTAACGGTCATGATTTCCGCTTGTCAATCCCTTACGGGAACAAGCGCGGGAGACCTGGGTTCGACTCCCAGTCGGGGAGATTTCTTTTTTGTTTTTGCGTATCTTTGCCAGTCTTTTTTATCCATCTCATGTTGAGTGAGGTTGTAATTTTGTTGCACCTTTTGTTGTAAAAGTGGTTTTTTTGGGGGTTTTCTTCCAATTTGTTCGTTGATAATGAGACCTAACCAAGTATGTCTACTCTATAAGTCTCCTATGATTTGCATTATGGTAGAGCGGGCGTTCTTTGTAGTACAAAAGGTGTGTACTATAGGTAATTATAGCTGGTTTCGCTGAAATGATTCTTTATATGCTGACGTGAGGTATCCCTGTAGCGTATAATAGTAGATGCCGAACTTCGTCTCTATACCACGATCTCTAGTAAACACTGAAGGACTGAGCGCGAATAAAGGATATATATCGTTGTAACTGAGGGGTCATTGCTGAGAAATCGTCACGTCATGGCAGCCTGCATTCGCCATGATTGTAGTTATAATCAAACGCGAAGAGAATGCCAACCAGCTGAACAACCATGGCAAGGACAACCAGGACATGAAATATTTGGTGAAAGCAACCGAAAATGTCAAATCTCCCAGGCTTGATTGATTCTGGCATGCGCATCTATATTCACTTGTCAGTATGGGACTTAGTTCTTAGGTCGGTGTACTAACAGTATAGAAAAGTGCACCTAAAATGAGGAGCCCTCCTTCGCCAAGGTAATATGGCATGCCGGACTGTACCATCATTTGGGCAAAACCATAGATGCTGATACCGTGGATCAGAGGTGCGAAGCCAGATAGTCCAGTGCCGACAAAGGTGCAGACACGGAAGGTGCGCCAACGGGGTCCTTGAAACTTGGGGTTCACGAGGATCATCATTGTGATGCAGCTCAGTGAGATGATCTTTTCATATCTATTAGATTTTTATGTACCGAAACGTGTGGTAGGGAACATACCATGCCCCAGTATATCCGTCGCAATAGAGGCTCGCAATAGAAGACCATGTAGATTCCCGAGACGAAGTCTCCCAGGGTCAAAACAATAATGCCAACAAAGTCGAGTCGTAACCACAATTCCGAGACTTGGAGGGAGTGATTCATTAACGTGTGATAGGTAGTCGACAGACCCAAACATATAACAGCAGTCAGGAGAAAGAAGGCAAAGATGGCGTGGTCGGATAACGTGGCTTCTGGGTATTTGACTTGAAGATACCGGTAGAACATGCCTTCTGATGCGAGGAAGAAGACGGCTGGAACCAGATGCGAATAAATGTTCACGCTTTCATTGTGCAGATACAACCAACTCGCGAAGCACGCATGGGTGGAATTGGAGACGGGTCGATAGCCATATCGAATAAATTCATTGTCTTGATACCACTCGGGGATTTCGTCGTAAAGAATGGGGGTACCGTCATCGAAGAGGACTTTCTCTGGTGTTGCTGGTTCTTCCGCAATGGCTCCCCGGGGAAGAGGAGAAGGCTTCCGCTGGCGCGGGAGTGTTTCCGTTGTCGATGGACTGTCCGTGAATGTCACTTGCATATCGCAAATTAAACTTTTACTTTTTTTTATCTTGAAGCAGAGTGTACAAAGAAATGAGAATAGTCGAGCGGACTGGATGAATATTGTACTGGGGGGATAGTTTTCTTTGGAGAGAAATCGAGCTGGGAAGACCCCGGCCGACTGAGGAGGAATCGAGCCTCTGTCACACCAGGCGCTGGGAGGAAGAGTTGGGTGAGGGGGTGCCTCCCAGGAGGGGCGCATGCAAGATGAGGCCCACGAGCCTATCACAGGCGGGTATGCACAGGAACCGACAGGGGCCCCCGGACGTAGTAGTGGTGCATGGGCGTGCCTGGGGTTGCTGTTTCATATACTAGACGTAGTGTGGTACCCCGGCACATACTGATGTCTAGCCTCGCCCTCCATTTTAGCCGAGCAGAGCTCGTCCATTCGATCGAGGTATAGACCGTTAGCGACAAGATTCAACCCTCCCCCCACCCCCCACCCCCCCGGCCCGAACGGCACTGTTCGAGATATCTTTAGTCGACAGACCTGCCCATATATTGCTGTTCAACTGGATTTATCCTTCTCCTCCCGGCTGGTACCAAACCACTGATCCCCAGGTAGCCCATTCGCTTTGAAAGCCTAAGCTTAAACACCCAGTTGCACCATCCATTGACGCTCCATGGAGGAGACTTGATGCATGCCTCACTTGCCTACTCCTCAGCCGCAAGAAAGACGTAATCCTTTGTGTTGCGACCTTGTTATATGCCTCGATCCATCTCATCGGCTGGAATTTGGGGTTCCCAACAAAGGCGGAGCTCATCCTCTGGCGAGTACGCAGTATGTTTCTGTTCGGAAACACAGTTGCGTTCTGGGTCTTCGAGACGTCAGCTGCCTGGTATCGGATAGGACGCTGGCAGCGCTTCTTCTGCAGGATCTTCTGGAAATCTAAGCTGGAAGAGGTGGAGCAAGCGCGACTGACAAGGGAATCTGCCAAGGTCCCCAAAGTACTGCCACTGAAGGCCGAGTTCTGGAGTATATTCCCCCTTGCTTGCACGTATGCTGCTGCAAGGTTATATTTGATCGTGGAAGCTTTCGTTGGGCTGAGAGCTTTGGAAGTCAGCGCTTATCGCACTGTGGATTGGACGACGTTTCTGCCTCACCTCTGAAGACATGGAGTATGCTCTAGCTATGGATGCGTACCATTTGACTCACCGTTTTCGGCTAGTCAACGGGGTGTTCCCATTTCCTTTCTTTCATCGACTTATATTTCGTTATGATGTTTTTTGTCTTCTCTTCAGAGTGGCCTATCACAATGACCACTCATGTCAGTTTATCATATTTTAGTCGAGAGTGTAATGACATCCAGGCGAATGAAGCTTCGAACCGCGCGACCGCAGGCGGATAGCGCAGAGGCCCAGACTTACCTTCCATCCTTACAAATCAGTATAATATCGTCCTACAAAGTTCCAATAAGCTT